TCTCTGTCTCCCCTTCAGTTACCTGAATAGTCCCTCCTCTTTGACCCAGTGGTTGCTTATCTGTGGTCCGTCCTCCAAAGTCTGGGACTCTACTCATTTAGAAAGTTACAGACTTTACTGAAGACCTCAGGGATGCCTTCCCTTTTCTTTATCTTCTTAAGTCTGATTCTGGAATTCTCAGACTCTTTGGAGTGTCTTAGTCAAATCCCTCATTTTAGCGAAGATGAGCCTGAGGCCTGGTTTTCCCAAGGTCATGTAACAAAGGAGGGGCAGGGCTGGGATCAGAATCCATCCTTGAAGACTCAGGCCAGTGATCCTTTCACTGCTCTTTGTTGAATCAGAAGAGCATCAGATTTGCAGTCAGGCACCCTTGGATTTAGATGGATGACTTGCCGTGTATTACGTGAACTTGGGCAAGCTATCTAACTTCTCCAAGCCCTGCATTCTTCATCTTTTATAACAGAGAGAAGAGCTCACAAGATTCTTACAGTAATTGAGGGAACATTAAAATGTGTTTTCACATTTCTTAGCATGTAGTTGGTCCTCAGTTTAAACGTTAGCTTTCTCCGTCATCCTTTACCCTCCCTTCCCCTCCTCCTTCTTGGTTTATTTATCTGCCCTTTTGTAACCGCTGCTTCCAGACTGCCCCTAGTCCACCATTGCTGGGGACTTCCCCAATTCCTATAAATATCTCCTAAGGGCCATGAGAACCCTGATAAGACCCTAAGGACATTCCAGAACCCCTCACGGCTGACTGTTGACTTTCCCCTTTTTCTTTTCCTCCTCTTCCCACCCCCAGCGGTACAGGAGGAGCGTCAGCGGGGGAAGGACAAGGACGGGGATGGGGAGGGGGCTGGGGGAGCCCCCGAGGAGATGCCTGTGGACAGGATCCTGGAGGCGGAGCTTGCTGTGGAGCAGAAGAGTGACCAGGGCGTTGAGGGTCCTGGGGGAACCGGGGGTAGCGGCAGCAGCGTGAGTGATGGGGTCAATCCAGTCTCTTTCCTGATGGGGGGCGGAGGGAGTCTAGGTTGGTTCTATTTCCCTCTCCTCTCCCTTTCCCTCCCAACCCCCACCCCACCCCCAAACACTGCCTGGGACTGGAAGTGCTGCCAAACAAGGTCTCTCAAACATCTGAGGTGGGTGTGATCGTTTTCTCTGTCCCCATCCCAGAACAACCCAGTGGCAGAACCACAGGCAAGTCCTAAATACGTAATTGTTTTCATGAATGCCTGAGGAGAAGCCTGACTTACAAGTATTGGTTCAGATGGTTTTGAAGGGAGACTCCTTTAAGGAGGTGGTATCAGAAACATCTTACAAGGGGGGGCTTCCACTGTACCTCCAGACCTTCCATAACTCTTACCCCCCATCCCCTGCAGCCAAATGACCCCGTGACTAACATCTGTCAGGCAGCTGACAAACAGCTATTCACGCTTGTTGAGTGGGCGAAGAGGATCCCACACTTTTCCTCCTTGCCTCTGGATGACCAGGTCATATTGCTACGGGCAGGTCAGTGACCTTGGATCCCCTTGAGCTCTTGATACATGACCCCTACTCGACCTTCTGACCTTCAGTGACCCCAGTGCTTACTTACATACCAAGGGGGCCAAGTTCATTGACCTCACCGCTTCTTCTTCTCTTCCCCGGATACGCTTTGAATCCCATGGTCTGCTCTCTGGCTCCTGACCCTTGCTGCCCCCAACCCAGGCTGGAATGAGCTCCTCATTGCTTCCTTCTCCCACCGATCCATTGATGTCCGAGATGGCATCCTCCTCGCCACAGGTCTTCATGTGCACCGCAACTCAGCCCATTCGGCAGGCGTGGGAGCCATCTTTGATCGGTCAGTGGCCCTCGGCTGGGCTGGCCTGTAGGTAGAGGGGGTGGGGCTATAGGCTGGTCCGTGTCCAAGGCTGGCTGAGCTGTGACCTTTGAGTGACCTGCAGGTCCCTCTCCAGGGTGCTGACAGAGCTAGTGTCCAAAATGCGTGACATGAGGATGGACAAGACAGAGCTTGGCTGCCTGAGGGCAATCATTCTGTTCAATCCAGGTAAGAGGAGGATCACCCCTGTCTCTCAAGACCAAGGCAACCTTGGAGCCTCCTCTTCTCCAGAGACTCCTAAGTTACCCAGCTATCCCCCTCAACCCGGAATTCTCCCAGCTGACCAAGAAAAGCCCACATCCACTGATACATTCCCCTTTGATCCCATTCCATAACTTGCCCTGCTTCCTTTGCCAGGCGTCTGGTAAAGGGCCAGTAGGTGGGGCCCAGAAGGGACATTGTGTGGGCCACATCTCCACATTTCTGACTTGATTTGTCTTCCTTCTTCTTCCTCCTCTTTTCCCTACCATCTCAGATGCCAAGGGCCTCTCCAACCCTAGTGAGGTGGAGGTTCTGCGGGAGAAAGTGTACGCTTCACTGGAGACCTATTGCAAGCAGAAGTACCCTGAGCAGCAGGGACGGTGAGAAGGAGCTGTGGGGGTGAGGGGTTGTGGGGTGCCATGAGGGTGTGTTCAGGGCCCATGTGGTTCCATCTGTCTTCTCCCACCTCTACCTCAGGTTTGCCAAGCTGCTGCTACGTCTTCCTGCCCTCAGATCCATCGGCCTTAAGTGTCTAGAGCATCTGTTTTTCTTCAAGCTCATTGGAGACACCCCCATTGACACCTTCCTCATGGAGATGCTTGAGGCTCCCCACCAGCTGGCCTGAGCCCAGACCCAAACATGGTGCTCCTCCTCACACCTGAGGAGTACACATCTGAGGGAGACTCCAGCCTTGGGGCATGGTGGGGAGGGGCCATGCCCTAGAATCTTGATGGGGTGAGGAGTACAGGGCAGAGCTGAGACCTCCAAGGGGATCCATAAACCCTCCAGGGGCTTTCCGTGACATCCCAAGTCAGAGGGGACCCCAGATCCTTGTGAGGGCTGGACCTCTCCCTTCAGTGGCCTTGAGTCTCTGAATTTATCTGGGTCTGCCATGATTTGGGGTGATTTCTCACCCCCTGCCTGGAACGATCTCTCCTTCCCCCAGCACAAAGCACTGGCCTTGTTCACAGGACCTTGCTTCCTTCTCATCTTGCCTCACTTAGCTACCCATGCAAAAAGAGAGAATGGGAACTCGCCCAGAGATGGATATTGGGGGGCAGGCCCCCCAAACTGACGGACATGGGAGTAGCACTCTGACAGGCCTTCCTTGAGGCCTTGACAGTAGCCCGGCAGGTGGGGGCTACTCTGGAAGAGGGAGGGGCCCTGTCACTGTTTCCAGTCCAGAGTCCCTCTCACACCTCACCTCCTGCTGCAGTCAGACTGAAAAATAAAAAGGTGGTGGTGGTGGTTAGGGGGTGAGTGGAGATGTAGGAACCCATCTGCTATTTTTAATTTCCTCTGAGGATAGAGACTTGCAGTTAGACTCAAAGAAGTACTGTACTTTCCCGGGTTGACTAAGAAATGCCAGCGGTGGAGGTGGTGTTTGGGAAAGGCTGGGCCCTGAGATGGTCTGTCCCTGGGGCCCTTCAAGCACTGGCCTTCCCAACCCCCTCCCCATCTCTTCTTGTCTAACTAGGGGAAGGCGCCTGGGATGTGATGGCGGGGAGGGGCAGGGGATGGTTTGGTGAGTAGTCCTCTCAGGCCCTTCCTTTCACAGCCTTCCCCCAGACCTGGTCACACACAGTGTAACCTGGGGGACACAGGACCCTGGCCTGAGAATTGAGGGGGGATGGTCAAGCCTGCAGAGATGGGGTGCTGGGGCTGCATGATTTTTGCCCTGCAGCTCTTCTCTCTGGGATTCCTTTCCCTTCTCTTTCACTCACACATAAAATAGCTTTCAAATTAAAATCGCTGTTTTCTGGACTGCAGTGACTGTATTGGGGGGCAGCACTGCGTCGGCCACCGGCGCGTGCGGGGGGGTGGGTATCCGGTCGGGAGCTCCGGACGCGCTCCCTTGACGCCGCCGCCGAGGTTCCCTGGGGCCCGAGAGGCGGGCACAGGGTGGGGGACACAAGGCGCGCTTTGTCGGGGAGGGGGGGAGAGGGTGTGCCAGGCTGGGGGCGGGGCCGGCCGGAGGAGGAAGAGGGGGGCGGCTGATTCTCAAAGGCGCCTTGTTCGCTTGCGCCCTCCTCGCGCCAGCGGGCGGCGGCGCCTCGACTCGCCCCTGTCTTCTCCGGCTGCGCCGCGGGCTCCAGGCAGACCCGGCGCCGTGCCCGTCCGTGGGGACGCACTGGGTGCTGAGCGCGGCGGCCTCTTCAGGCGTTGCCCGCCCGGAGGCGGTCTCTCGTCCCTGAGTGACCCTGTTTCCCCGCATTCTTCCAACTAGCTTCGACGGCCCCCTCATCTCTCCGATGGCTCCCGGGCTCCCTGACCTCGTCCCCCTCGTTTTCATCTCCTTGGACCTGATTATGCTGTGTGTGTCGGGCTGTCCAGTCTCTGGCTCTCTCCGCCCCCCACTCCGGGTCCCTCTGCCTCCCTTCTAACCACCTGTCCCCGGCCCCTTGCAGCCGTCGGGTAGCAGGTCCCCAGTCGCTATCTATAGCCTAGTCTATAAATACCCCCTCCCCAGGCCGGCTCTGTAATTACACTGGGCGGGGCGAGGGGAAGTAATTATGGAGACCTGATAGGGGGGAGGTAGAGACCCCCCGCCAGGCCCGCCTCTCCCCTCCCACCGTGCCCTAAGTCCCGCCCAGGACTGCTGAAAAGGAGTCTCTGGGCCCCCAGGTGGGAGGGAGTTGAGGTGGGGGCTCTGAGTGGACCTCTGGGTCCTAGAAAAGGAAGGGGCAAGGGAAGAGATATCGGGGTTCCCGAAAAGGTAATCTTGGGTACAGGCCACTCAGTCTCTGCAAGGAGCAGGGGAAAGCAGTCTGAGGGTCAGCGAAGGAGGGCTCCTGCCCCCCCACTCCCAACCAGGTGGAGATCGAGGGTGGGTTTCCCCTCGGTGGCTGTGGGCGGGCGGCTGGAGGAGGGGGCTGGGCCGGGGGCGGGGTGGGGGCTGTGGGCCGCCGGGGTGGCCGGGGACACACAGGAGCGGCGGCCACCGAGGAAGGAGCAGCGCCAGAGCCCCGACGGCGCCCGGCTGCATGGAGCTGGGCCGCTGAGAGCTGTCGCTACCCGACAGCCTCTGACCTCCGCGGGACCCCAGCGTCCGAGGCTCAAAGCCTGCTCATTCTCTCCCGTCAGCCTTGGGGCGTTCTGCTCCTCTGGCCGCCCATAGATCCCTGGGACCCGGCGTTCGGGTCGCCAGCCATGGAGCGGTGCAGCCGCTGCCATCGCCTCCTCCTGCTGGTACCGCTGGTGCTGGGGTTGAGCGCGGTCCCCGCCAGGGCAGGTAAGAGGAGTCCCGACACCTGCGTCCTCGGAGTCAGGCTGCAGCTCTCATAACCCCCCCCCCCCCCCCCCCCCCCCGCTGATGCCTGGGGCAGAGCTTCCAAATCCAAGAAGGGCTGGAGGGCAGGTCACCTAGGTCCCTGGGAACCAAGGTAGGGATGTCTTTGCCTCCTTGAAGTGACTGGGAGAGGGCAGGGAAGGCTGAAAGGTGGAGGCTCACCTTAAAGAAGGGACTGGATGCTGGGGTACTCCAGGGAGAGCCAAAGGTGGCCGGGGCTGGTGTAGTCCAGCAGATGGTGGGGTGGGGAGGTAGATGCCAGTGTTGATGGGTGAGGATTGTGTGTGTATCTTCTGGGCTTTCTATCTCTATGTCTGGGGTGAGAGGGGAGCATCTGTGGGTCAGCGCAGAGCCTAGTAAGTAGAGAAAGGAGGGACGCCTGGATTATTTGTCCCACTGGCTTCCCGGACAGGATCCCCTTCCCCCTCCCTGTGCCCTCGATGCTGCCACGCGGCTGGCTCTGGGGAGCACCGGGGCTGGCTGCCAACAGGACGGCCGCTGGACAGGCTGGGATCAGGTGTCTGAGGCGGGAGCCAACTCTTTGCATTCCTGCCCCACCCCTCCCCCTCTGGCCAGCAGGGCTCCCCTGGGACCCTGGTGTCCACAACCCCAATCATTTCCTTCTTTTTCCCAGGATCCAGAAGTCCTGGCACCTAGGAAAGGGATTTGATGCCGGACAGGAGGGGGCTGGGTGTACCTGGGTCCTGGGCAGTCCTGGGGGCAAGCCTCCCACTCCTGGCAACACTGAAGGCTGATTTGCATGTAACTCCACTATTCATTTCTTCTCCGTCCTGGAGAGAAAATGGTCAGAATAGCAGCATAAAGGATTTAGATTAGATTACAGAAAGAAGAACTTCCAAGATTCGAGGAGCATGAGGCTGAGGGACAGGAAATGGACGTGTGTGATGTCTGTGGACTCTTGGAGCCTTTCTTAGGGAAGAAAGGAATCCTCTAGCATGGAGGCTGAGATGACTGTCCTTATTTTGGGTTTGAGTGGCTAGAGATGGGACTCTATAGGGAAATGGGTTAGTGTGGAATTCATAAGAGTAAAAAAATGCGGCATTTGGGGGCCAAAGGTAGAGTGGTGGGGCTGATGGGGCTACCAGTGAGGAGCCTGTGGGGCAGACTGAGGTCGGAGTCAGTGGGCACATATGTGGCCTGAGGTGGGCAGATGGGTGGGCAGACCTCTGGGTAGGTCGTCTATAGGATAGAACTATACTCCTGTGGTGTTTGGAGAAGGGCGGGGGCCTCTGAGGTCTCCTTGGCCTGGGGTCTCTGTGAGTCTCTGTGTCTCTGTCTCACTCACTCTTCCTCTCTCAAAGCGGCCCTTGTGTGTTGGTGTTTGCGGAGCTGCCACACTCAGGGGCCAGGCTAGGGAGGGGGGTGGGTGGTGAAGGGGAGGGCGAGGCCGTGGTTTCCCGGCTCCTGGACTCAAAGGGCCTTTTTTCTGCCTGTCCGCCCCACCTCACCCACCCCACCCAGCTCTACTCTCCTGATCGCTCTGGCCCCTGCCCTGCCCTATGCTTCTCTAAAAGTTTTGCTGGACTTTCTTTGGGATTTTTCCAATCTGGACCTGATGGCGTGAGGAGTGTGTTTACCAGGGAGCAAGTGAAGGAAAGGTGACCTTTGTCTTCCAGGGAGTTTGAGCCTGAGGAAGCTGAATTCTAGGTGGTTGGGGGGATGGCCTGGGTCTCAAATCTTTGGATCCAAGAGGTGGGGGTAGTGGGGCAGGGTTGAAGTTCCAGGTGTGGGGAACTTGCCCGGGTTTTGGGCAAGGACTCTGATGGGATCCACAGATGTATGGCTCAGGGCCCTGGACCAGCTCCGGGTCCTCGTGGCAGCTTCTGCCCCCACCCCCCCACCCCCAGTCCATCTCCCAAGCCAGGGGTACAGGCTCCTGGGGTGGCTCTTTCTGCTATCTCCTTCCTCAGCATGGTCAGAGTTGTCCCCACCTCCCCAAATGCGGGCACTGAAGCAGTTTGGAGCCCCATCCCCTAAGATTTGCCTCTCTGCTCCCTCCCAAGTGGCCCCCCCTGCACCTCCTGTGCCCAGGATGATCGATTGCCCAGATGTTGTTTGTGCTGGAGATAGGGGAAAGAGGCCAGAGACCCAGAGACCCAGAGATATGGAAAGGGAGTGAGAGAGGGAGAAAGACAGGGGAGAGAAAAGCATAGAAAGAGCATGAGGGAGGTGGAGGAAGACAGAAGAGACAGGGAGACAGAAAGATCAACAGATCCAGAGACAAGAAGAGTGAGAGAGACAGAGAAGGGGAGATGGTGGAGAGTAGAGAGAAATCCACAGGTTGAAAGACAGAGATGGGGAGAGACTGAGCAAGACACACTGGGAGGGAGATGGGCAGGGGTCATGTGGAGCTGAACACAGGGCCAGTGCTGCCCTCTTCCAGGTGACTCTGGTTTCCTATCCATTCAGGGCCCATTCAGGGGAAAGTAAGGGAGAGGTGACCTTTGCCTTCAGGGAGCTTGAGCTCCAGGAAGCTGAGTTCTGGACTCCAAATACCCCCATATCTTGGCGCTCCTGAAGGTGTGTGCCTTCTCCTGATCCTCATGGACTCTCCCAGGTGCACGCCCTGTGGATGTGCTCCGGGCCCTGAGGTTCCCCTCCCTTCCTGATGGCGTCCAGAGGGCAAGAGGCATCTGTCTGGCTGATGTGGCCTACCGAGTATCCCGACCAGCCCAGCTCAGTGCACCCACCCACCAGCTCTTCCCAGGTATGGGTGACATGCTGGAGTAGCGAGAGCTGGGGGAGGGCCTGGAGTGGGGTCTAGAATCAGACACCAGAAGGGAAAGGTTTTATGGCTCTTTTTGCCTCTCATTCCACCTGGTTGTGTCTCTCTCGGGTACCAGGAGGTTTTCCCAAAGATTTCTCATTGCTGACTGCTGTCCGGACCCACCCTGGCCTCCAGGCTCCCCTCCTGACTCTCTACAGTGCCCAGGGTGTCCAACAGCTGGGCCTGGAGCTTGGCCGACCCTTCCGCTTCCTGTATGAGGACCAGACTGGACGGCCTCGACCCCCGGCTCAGCCAGTCTTCCGAGGCCTCAGCCTAGCAGATGGCAAGTAAGTCAGTTTGCTCCTCTGGTCTGCCTGGACTGGCCTTTCAGGAGCTCCCCTCTGGCCACTGGCCCCAGAACCCCCAATCCCTGAACTAGGAAGCCTTTTGGCCACACCTCACCTACCTACTGCCCAAACTTCAGACGCTTCTGGCCCAGAGTTTAGGCTTTAGAGTTTAAATCTTACATGTAGTACTAGCCTGTGCCTTGGGCAAGTTAACTTTTTTAAGCCTCAGTTTCTATGGCTATAACATAGGGATGATACTATTATCATTAGCTCCAACCTTTCCATCATCTGCTCTCCAGCCCTGTGGACTCCCCCCACACCCTCAGTCAGTCAATTGAACCACTCCCCCCATGACCAGGTGGCACCGTGTGGCTGTGGCTGTGAAGGGCCAGTCTATCACCCTCATAGTTGACTGCAAGAAGCGAGTCACCCGGCCTCTCCCCCGAAGTGCTCGTCCACTGTTGGACACCCACGGAGTGATTATCTTTGGTGCCCGTATCCTGGATGAAGAAGTGTTTGAGGTAACCAGAACATAGAACAGAGTGGTTTCTGGTCCCACATCTTGTGCCTATTCTCCTTCTGGCCCCAGTACTCCATCTTCTTATAGCCTAGCCCTTCATTTGAGCTCTCATGAATCTCTATTTCCATTTCCTATCCTCAGGGCTAATTTTCTCTGTAGGACAATTAGGTGCCCACTTATATGGCAGGACAGCTGTCTTTATCAGTCTTCATGAGTCTGCCTGTCCATTCATCCCTTCAACCAATCTCTCTATCTGCACCCACTCATTCATAGACCCATCTAATACCCATCCATCCATTTATGCACTCACTCACCAATCAAGCATTCAGGTTTGTACCCACTCTCTTGCCCATCTTCCTCTGCCCGGCCACTTTCTTCTTCACTCATCCATCAATCTATCATCTTTAACCCATCCATTTATTCACTCATTCATCCACCCACCCAGCCCATCTACCCATGCATGCGAGGATGCATGTATTCATCCATCCCCTCATTCACCCACCCATCTCCTCACCCACCCACTTTCCATCCAACCATTCACTCATTCATTCACATATTCACTTCCATCCATCTATCTACCAATCTGTTTCCTCTACTCCATACCTCCATTTATCTACCCACCAATCCTCCCATTCATTCATTCACCATCCACCAACTCTCCCATTCAGTCAGTCATGCATTTGAGCCCCCATTCATTCACCCACTGACCCATCCATCCATCCATCCATCCATCTTTCTATTCATCCACCTGTCCATCCATCCACCCACCCAGCCAGTCAATATTCTCTGAATACCTGCTGTCCCAGTGTCAAGGGGAACACAGAAGAATAATAGAAGGTCTCTATTATTCTCAGGAGCTCCCAGTTCCTCTTTTAAGATGAGACAATAACCCCAAACTATAATACAAGGCAAGATATGCTAAGCACCATGTGTGGGCACAAATAAATGCCATTGGAATTCAAAAGTGGCTTCCCTCTCCCCCATTTCTAGAGGTCCTGAGAATTCTCATCATCACTGCCATTGGAAGGTCAAAGCAACTAAGGCTGGGCCACTGTTTCCAGAAGCCTTTGTGGAAAGGTCCATGCATTACCACAGTGTTGGATTAAGAGTTGGAATGTTTGAATTCTAGTCCCGAGTCTACCATTGCAAGTGACCTTGGGCTAGTCATTGCCTCTTTGAGCTTTCCTGAATGGAATATTTGAACAATAGGCATTGTCCTACTGATTTTTCCAGTTGTGGTGAAGGTCCAGTGGAATTATGGATGGGAAGGTCCTTTGAAAATGAAAAGGGCTGTGTACATGGGAGGGCTGATAATGATCTTCTCCCATTATGTCCTTTTACCTAGGACTGGCTCTTACCCTGTGTCCCAGACTTGACCCTCTGTCTCTCTCTGAAACCCTCTCTGCCTCCCTCCATTGATGTTCGTTCCCCATGTCTTTGCAGGGTGATATCCAGGAGCTTGTCATTGTCCCAGGGGTGCAAGCTGCTTACGAATCCTGTGAACAGAAGGAGCTGGAGTGTGAAGGAGTATGGAGGGAGAGACCTCAGAAACAACAGTCTCAGAGGGCCCAGAGATCTCCAAAGCAGCAGCCATCAAGACTTCATAGGCCACAAAACCAGGAACCTCAGCGACAGGTGAGGGAGCTGGGCGAACCCCAAACCACAGCACGCTCCAGGGAGGGAAGGTACCCAGACACCTCCCCAGGGGAATTTCCCCAATGTTCCAGAGCTCCCCATCCTATTTTGGGCTCCTGTTCCCCCCTTCACTGGAGCCACTCCAACCACACCTCCCTCTCCCAACCCTCACTCCCTCCTCCCAGTCCTCATTCATCAACCTTTTTATTTTCAATTAAAAATAAAAAGAGTCATTATGAAAGACTTCATGACTGGGAGCTGTGTCCCCTGCTTGCATCTCCTTTCCTCTGCCAGTCTTTCTGGAACTGTGTCCTTGGTCTTCCCATCCCTTCCTTGAATTAAGAGATTGGGGGGCAGTGTGTGTGGGGGGGATAAGATGCAGGGACAGAGGATGGGAGAGCAGAGTAGGGGAGAGACAGAACCAGAGAGACAAAAGTTGAAATGGTAAGACCTAGGAGGAGAAATGGGGAGAGCAGGAGATAGAGAAAGTCCCAGAAGAGTGCTGGGTCCATGCAATTCTGTGTTGGGGCCCAGTCTCTGGCCCCCTGCATGTGGAGGTGCAGAAAAAAGGGCTGGGTGGGGGGGGGGTGGGGAGGGAGGGACAGGGGACTCTGGGTTGGGTGGGGTCCAGATGGTTAGGGTGACAGATATGATCTGGGGTCAGTGGTCTGAAGGTTAGAGGGTCAATCTCTTAATCATGTCTGCTTCTGTTCCACATGTGGGACCCACGCCCTCACCTCTCCCCATCTCTCTCCTGACCCCCAACCTCTCCTTTCATCCCCAACTCCTACCCCTTTTCCAAATTCCCACACCATCCCCTTCTCTCTCTCTCCTCACCCTTATACCCCTACCTCTTCCTACTATTCCCACTGCCCATTCCCGAACCTCAGCCCACTGAGTCTTTCTACTATGACTACGAGACCCACTATTATGATGTGAGGACTGCAGGGACGACCCCTAATTATCAGGTAAACTTGAGGGACCCCTTCATTTCTTCCCCTCCTCCCACCACTCCTTGTAAACATCTCCTATGGCACCTTCCTCCCCTCTTAACATGTGGGGAGAGACATCATATATTTAGATTACGGGAGTGTCCTCACTGCCCCCTCCCATGTCTCTCTGCTACAGAGGCCACCGAGCCCCAACCACAGGGCTCCCCCTCCCCCCAGGGGGCGTCGGACCCCTCCCAGAAAGCCTACCCCACCTGCCAAGAGGTCAGCAGCCCGGCAGGCGCCCCCCTCACCAGGCCGGAGGCCCTCTCGAATTGGAGGTTCCGGCCCAGCACGGGGCCTGCCTCCCCACTTCCGACGCCCAGCTCGGCAGGCAGCTCCCCCCACTGCCCGGGCCCCCCCCAGGACCAGAGGAAGCGGTTACCGGCAGGTAGAGCCGGGGCATCCAGATCTGTGCCCCCAAACCTCTATGACCTTGGAGATTTACTCTCCCCAAACTGTACCCCCTCCAAAGGGGCTGCAAGATCTGAGATTACCCCCACCCCCCCAGTACAAACAGACAGTGCCCACAGTGGGGGACAAGGTGCTGCTTTGCCTCCCCTCCCGCTAACCTCTCTCCTTCCTTTCCGCCCCATGTTACTCTTCTCCCCGTTCTCCTTGGGGTTAGGACCCCTCCCCAGGTGAAGAGGAAGGAATCCTGGAATCAAGCCCCTTGCCACCCCCTGAGGAGGTAACTCCATCCCCCACCCTCACGCTAGCTGGGGGCAGTGGGCATCTGTGACCCACTCCCCTGCCCCATGTCATCTCAGTGAATTAGCTCTTTCTCTGGCTGGAGGGCTCCTTGTCATATCCAACTGTGGTCTTCCAGTCACTCCAGACCTGTCGACCTGCTTGTCTTTTTAAGTACAGCCATTTTTCTTCAGTGTCTATGTCTCCTTCCATTATTCTTTGATTCTGGAACAACTTCTTCTCCATGTTGGTGTCAAAAGGTTTTCATCATATTTCTGTTCCCCGGAGTTTTCTGTCCATGTTGTCACTTTTTCTGTTCTCTGTTTTTCCATCCATTTCTTTGATTATTCTCTGGACTCCTTTGTCTACCATTATCTCCACAGACTGTCTACTCTGTGTCCAGCCCTCCGGCCACCCTTCGTCCTTCTTGTAATTCATCATTTCTTCCCACTAGTCCCATTTTTGGGGCATCCCTCCTCATTTGCGGCCTTTGATGGCCCTCCCCTTTCTGTACAACCACTTCCCTCGCTCTTCTTGGGAGAAAAACTCCAGTCCCAGTTATCCTCAGATTCCTTTGGGCCAGAAGTTGCCACACTGTCGGGTCCAAGGAAAACCTCCTCTCAGCCCTAATGCCCCCATCTACCCCTCTCCCTCCCCATCCCTGGGAAGGAGCAGACAGATCTCCAGGTCCCCTCCACAGCCGACAGGTTCCTGACAGAGGAATATGGGGAGGGTGGCACAGACCCCCCATCAGGGCCCTACGATTACACCTATGGCTATGGGGACGATTATCGTGAGGAGACGGAGCTTGGCCCTGCCCTGTCTGCGGAGACAGCCCCCTCGGGAGCCGTAAGTGAAAGGAGCTCCTCTTCCATTCTTGACCTCCAGTGGGAGCTGTAAGAATTGCTTCCTGTTGTTTCTGATTATTGTCTATTGGCTGCAAGCTACTTCCCATTGATGATTTGCCTTTTTCTGTTCACATAAGATGTATATGTTGCTTGAAAGGATGACTTTCTGCTTTCCCTTGCCAAATATCTTGCCCTGTGACACCTCATGGATCTTTCTGCCCAGGGCAAATGGGATTTTTTTTTTTTTTCTTTTTTAATCCTCTGGCCACTTCCTGTCTTTCTTGGCCGCTTTCTGTCTCAATCAAGCTGTATTTCATAAAGCTTTTGGCCAATAATCCCCTACTTTTTGTCCATTGTCAGTTTTGTCTCCATCATTTCTTCTTGGTAAAAACAATTTCTTATCCATGTTGCTGCCAAATGATCTAACTTCCTATGTCATGTTTTCTAACTTACAGGTCACCCCCTGTCTGTCCTTTCCTGTCTTCCTTGGCCATGGCATCCATCTTGGTGACTGTGACAATTTGTACTGAAAGGGACTTATTTATGTTTTGGCTCTAGTTTTTCATGCTGTCTTGTAACAATTTCCTTTGCTAATAAGCCACTTCCTGTGTGTCTCAGGTCATCCAAATCATAAAGTCTCCATTGTGGGCCTAGATATTTATCATGGCTACTTCCTGTGTGTATTGGCCTTGATGTTCATGTTTTCTGGAAGAATTGCCTTTCGTTGTCATAATCCCCTTTCCAGGAGTCACTTTTTGTCTGTTTTGTGAACTTCTTCTTTCTCTTGGTCGTGGTAGCCATGTTGTTGTTGAAGGTCCACTTCCTGGATCTTCTTTTCTTGGCTACTTCCTGTCTGTCCAACCATTTCCTGTTTGTCCAGTTCATTTCTAGCCATCTTGGCCATGTTTAATTTTTCTTGGCCCTGGCATCATTCTTGCTTCCAAGTGTTTGTCCCTTTGAAATGTCTCCCTTAATTGTTTCCCATGTCTTCAACCACTCCCTCTCAGTTGGGAAATTTCCTATCTACTCCATTCATCTTTTGCTTGCCTTGCAATTAGAGCTGCCTCCTCTACCCTGCTGCCTCGTCCCAGAATTTCCTTCTCTAATATTGCCACCCTTGACCCTGCGCTGCCTTTCCCTTTTGCTGCTTTCTGGAAATTTGGGGTTGATCTGGGATATGGGAGAGTTTGGAAATTCATCACTGCTGTTTGGTCAGGATGGAGGTGGAGGGGTGCATTCTGAAGATTTTTGTTGGGAGAGTTGGGGCCTGGTGGGGAATGATTTCCATTCTTCCCATCCTAATCTTGGTTCTGGCCTTAGTGTTGGGGGTGGGCATCTGAGAAGTGTGGAAAAGAAGGAACTGGTGGGCTTGGAGTATAAATGAGGGCCAGAGGAAGGGTGTAGTGTCCTTGCTGGGAGAGGAACTGGGGGTCTGCTCTGGGGCTTGAGCAATAGCCCAAGAGCTGTATTTTTCCAAACACCAGTTATGAGGTCTGACTTTGGGATATCAGTGGGGACTGCCCTCCAATTCTACTTAGAGTATGGATGTTTAACCTCTGGAGAGTTTTTAACTTGTGAACCCCTTGCAATTCTAAGAAAAATTCTGTGCACAAGGGTATATACTTTTTCTTTCCTGGAAAAGACTTTTTGGATTATATCAGATTCTCATATGGATCCATGCCCTCCCTTCAAACCCCAATAAAAATCAATCCACAACCTTAGAGAGATGCTTATTTGGTGGATTGCAGTAAGGGTGAGGTAGTTGATAGTTTCTTAAAGTTCTAAGAATTCCTGGAGTCAGAGAGCGTTTGGGGAATAGGGTAGGGTCCTCCAGAAGAGGGTTTGGGAAGGTTGGGGGGGGGTTGGAATTCCAGGAAAGGTGTGAAGAGGTCGTTAGGGAGATGAGGAAGTTTGTTTGCTAAGATGGGGCTGGGAATTGGGAGGTGGAGAGCCATGAGGTCTCCTTGGAAGGCCTGGGAGGTCTGCGAAGAGGGAGTCTTAGAGGAGGGCTGGGAGGTTTTACAGTTCGGGTTGGGGAGGTCTCCAGAGAATCTGAGAGTGAAAGAAGGTGGGAGTTGGGATGGGGGCAGTCCTGGTGTCCTGGCTGCTCACAGGCCCCACTGGGGGTTACATGTGTGTCTCCTTCAGGCTGCCCGTGGACCCCGGGGGCTGAAGGGAGAGAAGGGGGAGCCTGCGGTGCTGGAACCTGTAAGTCACTGTTGGTCACTGAGCTGGAGGCAGGGGAAAGAAGAAAAGGAGGTGGGGGTGCTAGCCCTGTAGCCTCTGACTTTTAACCTTTGGCTCTACAGGGTATGCTAGTGGAGGGGCCTCCTGGCCCAGAAGGCCCTGCGGTAAGTGTAGCTGTGACCCATTAGCCTCCATTCTTTTCTCAGAGACCCTTCTTACAAACTCATCTATGCCTTGTCCACATATGCCCAGGCCTCCTTCTCAGAACTCTGGAGAATCCTTCCAAAGCTTCCCAGATCCTCAAATCTCTTTTGTAGAGACCACCCCTCAGCCACATACCCCTCTTCTATCTGAATGCCCACACCTGACCCACTCCTTTCTTGTTCTTCAGGGGTTGATTGGTCCCCCTGGCATCCAGGGCAACCCAGGCCCAGTTGGAGACCCTGGCGAGAGGGTAAGGGAGTAGCGTGTGTGGGGGGAGGGGGGCGGGGATGGACTGCAGAGGAGCCTCTGGTACCCAACAGGGGCACCAAGCTCAGTAATTCCTCATTAACTGGCTGACTAATGAACAAGGGGCTGGTGTGGTCCCCAGCACCCAGAAAGGAGGACAGGCTCTGGTTGGGGAGCAGAGTAATCTGTTGTCTCACCCTCATTTTTCTGTATGGGGGTGGGAGGGTTCAAGAAAGGTGTAGAGAAGTCTATATTTATTCTGTAGAGGGCTTCACAATGATGCCAGGACCCTAACATTCCCTAACTGTCACCTATCCTCATTTTCTCCCTATTCCAGGGTCCCCCTGGCCGAGCAGGGCTCCCTGGATCGGATGGGGCCCCTGGCCCTCCTGGCACATCTCTCATGCTCCCAGTGAGTTGTCTTCTGGGCTTTGGAATGGGAAGGGCAGGGGAATTGTATTCTGTCACCAAGAACCAGAAGACCAGGAAAGCTAAGGAGGAGTCTCTAAAGACCACCAACACAAAGAGATTGATCTTTGAGGTGGATGGACTAGGGACTCATTAGATGACCTAGAACCAAACATGAATCATCTAGAACTGGGCAGAAAATCCCACATTTCAGGGGCTCTAGAACCAAAGGAAAGTTTTTCTGGAGGAAGAAGCCAGAGAGTGGGGGAGGGAGACAGGAGTAGAGTTTCTGAAAACCTCTACATGATTATCTGAAAACCTTCCATGGGAGACACTGGACGAGAGCATGGGGTGGGGGGTGTCCCTGAACCTGGGAGATGGGGCAGAAGTGCTGGATGAAGCTTTTGGCTGGGAGGGTCACATGGGTTTCCTGGGAGAGAATCTGGACCTTTCTTTTTCTCTGCCCCTCAGTTCCGGTTTGGCAGTGGTGGGGGTGACAAGGGCCCTGTGGTGGCAGCCCAAGAGGCTCAGGCCCAGGCAATTCTGCAGCAGGCACGTGTAAGTAAGGCTGGAGGGGATGTTGGTGAAGGGAGGGGTATGGAGGGCAAGTGAAGACTTCAGGAGGGGTTGGAAGGGTAGGTTGGAGTAAATGTGGGGCAGGGTAAGGTCTGGGTTGGTTTGGGGCTGAGAGGGAGGTTAGGGAGAATACAAGGCAGTAGAATGAGGATTAGGAGTGGAAAGGTGAATTTGGAACGTGTACTGGGGTTGGGAGTTCTCCTGCTGCTTCTTCCTCAGCTCTGCTATGTCCCCTGCCCCCCTAGCTGGCGCTCCGGGGACCCCCTGGCCCCATGGGATACACAGGCCGCCCTGGACCCTTGGTGAGTGTGTTGGATATTGGGGTAGGGAGTTCTTTATTTGTGTGTCGGGGTACGGATAGTTCTGGAAAGGGACCAAGTTGAAAGTTATTTTGCTACTTTGGGGGAGGGCTTTGAAGTCATTGTTGGGTGTGTCCTTCAACATAGCCACTCTCTCTTCTCTGTCACAGGGACAACCTGGGAGCCCTGGCCTGAAGGGAGAATTGGGAGACCTAGGACCTCAGGTGACAAGCCCCACCCATCTGATCCCCCATCCAGTGCCTCCCTTTCCAACTATGCCCTTTAACTCTGCCCCTGAGTCTCTCTCACCAGGGCCCCAGAGGACCTCAAGGCCTCACAGGCCCTCCTGGCAAGGCTGGGCGAAGGGTGAGTGGGTGTGTGGTGGGTGTGGATGGGAGACAGGACCCAGAGTGTGGGGGACTGTGCCTCTGTTTGCTCTGACACTTCCTTTGCACCCCCAGGGCCGAGCGGGTGCTGATGGAGCCCGAGGGATGCCTGGAGAACCTGGAGTGAAGGTGACAAGCATGGGTCCTTCTCTGATGCCTATGACTTCTAGCCCCATCTAAGCTCATTGTTTTCTGGGCATGACCAAGTTCCCAGGGTTTCCCCATGAAGTGGCACCTCCCCACTCAGGACACAGTAGGGAGGGATGGGGTGGAAAAAGAGCTAGGACCTCACTCGGGCTGCCGCTCTTCCTCTAGGGTGACCGAGGTTTTGATGGACTCCCAGGGCTACCTGGGGAGAAGGGACACCGGGTGAGTATATTGGGGGTAATGCATTGTGATGAGGGGGTAGACCTTCTGTGGAGGGGTGGGGAGGTAGGGAGCTCAAGGCAAGGGAAGGAAGCTGAGGGTCCCTGCAGGAGCTCAATGGGTGAAACCGGTTGGTTAATTGAAGAGGGTCAGTTTCTGCCTGTGCTGGGGGCTCTGAGGCCCCTCTTATCTGTTCCCCCATTTTCCAGGGTGATACTGGTGCCCAGGGCCTTCCTGGCCCCCCTGGTGAGGATGGAGAGCGGGTAAGTATTGTGGCCAGGGCAGGGGCTCAGTATGGGAGAGGCGTGGAGGATGAGGCTGATTCACCATGTCCTCCTCCTCCAGGGAGATGATGGGGAGATTGGGCCTCGAGGACTGCCTGGAGAGTCGGTGAGTGTCCAGGGGGTCAAGGGTGGGGCTCTGAGGATGCCAAGGGAGGGATATGGACACAAAAGGGACATATTATCTCTTGCCCATGCATGTCATATCTTCCCCTCACCTGATTGCAGGGACCTCGAGGTCTCCTTGGCCCCAAAGGCCCACCTGGTATTCCTGGACCCCCGGTATGTGACTATCCCTGACTTCTGACCTTGACCTCACCCCCTGACCTTTCCAACTCTCCACCTTTCCTAGCTGCCTCTCCTCCCCTACATTTAGTTCTCCCTCCCTGGCCTCCCATCGCTCTGCTCCAGCTTTTAATCCTAGGTGCCCTTGCAAGGTTCTATGGTACAGTGCACCAAAGGCTCTGAGCATAACTTAAAAAAAAAAAAAAATCTTCAAAGAAACAAAACAAAAGCCCACAAACCCACAGACCCATAGACCCACGCCCTGTGGATCTGGGCCGGCTATGTTTACTTAGGTTTGGGATGGACTGGAGGTCTGACCAATGTGAGGTTGCCCCGTCCCACCCTCTGGAGTGGCTGGGCCTCCCAGAAACCACAGGTCCTTCCAGGGCCCAGGCCCCACCTTCTAGCCTACTCACACCCCTCTCATGTTTCAGGGAGTCCGAGGCATGGATGGTCCCCATGGTCCCAAAGGGAGCTTGGTGAGTAATGGGCATGGAGAACCTTAGCCAAGGTCCTGTTTCCTTGGTGACCATTTTGACCCCCTGCCTGCTTCTGGTTCTTGTGCCCCTGCTGTCCCAGCTAGGACTCAGCTCTCTGCCCCAAGTTTGTTCTGTCACCATCTTCTTTTGACCTCTGCCTGATTGCCTGTTTCTAGGGACCCCAGGGAGAGCCAGGACCTCCTGGACAACAGGGCACTCCTGGAACCCAGGTGAGTTGTCCTGTCCAACCCCTCCCCATCTTTAACAACTTCCTCTGGGCTTCCACAGTGGGTCACACCCTGGATAGAAATTAAGGGTCTCCAGCTCCACTGCTCATGCTCTAAATGGGGATGCTGGCTACAGGAGAAAGCAGCCCACCTCTGTGGGGCCCCTGTGACTTCTTTCTCTCTCTGTGTAGGGTCTCCCCGGGCCCCAGGGTGCCATTGGGCCTCATGGAGAGAAGGTAAGTGACTGATTGGGGGATAGGGGATGAGCTGGGAGGGGGGGTTGAAGAGAGAGCCTTAAATGTGTGGCTAGGACTTCAGTCATAGTCTGATCTGGTCCCTCTTGTGGCCCTGTGCCTCCTCGTCTTCCTGCAGGGTCCTCGAGGGAAACCAGGGCTCCCTGGCATGCCTGGCTCAGATGGACCGCCGGTGAGTGGGTATCCACCTCTTAATCCAAATTCCACTTGACCCTCCACCCCAAGTGAATGACCTTCAAGTGCCTTTGGTGACTATCCACACAGTGTATCCCTGACACTGGGAGGTCACTGGTGGTGCCTGCCCCTGGTCAGTTGGCTTCATTAGGGTCATAAGGGGGAGAGGGGTTAAAGAAGTGAAGGGAGGGATGCAGGGAAGGTGACAGTGGCCAGTGGTCACATTCTCCTTCCCCTACCCCAGGGTCACCCAGGAAAGGAAGGTCCTCCTGGAACTAAAGGAAACCAGGTGAGATCTTCCATACCTGCTTTCACCCCTGAGGGAGTTTCCACCCAGTCTCGGGCCCCAAAGTCCTTGGAATTTCCTTGTCTTATCATTCACGTGGCTCTGTATTCTCGGTCCCATGCCCTGTATCCCTATTCAGACTCCAATGTTGTCTCTACCGTTTCTTCCACCCCCTGAGGCCTCCACAGTCACACCCTGAGACCCCTTTTTAGATACCTTTCTTTCTTCTTCCAGGGTCCATCTGGACCTCAGGGTCCTCTAGGATACCCGGGACCTCGAGGTGTCAAGGTAATGGACAACCAGGCTGGGAGATAAAGGACTGTGGTCGGGGGAGCCAGCTGGGGTCTCAGGAGCTTGATCCTTCCAATCTAACCTCTGTCTCCGATCTCTCTGTCTCTGTCTCCCTTCTAATTCTAGGGTGTGGATGGAATTCGTGGTCTGAAGGGTCATAAGGGTGAAAAGGTGAGAGATGTGCCCCCAGCTTCCTAGCACCTCCATCCTGTCCCACACCACCCCTTCTGCCCAGCTCTTCCCCACTTCCTTCCCTCAAGCCTGCCCTGCACTGCTCTCCAGCTCTGAAATCCACCCTTCCACCCACGTTTTCTGAAATGCTCCATCTTACCTCCTAGCCCCCCATCGTCTCTGATGACCTCTCATCCCCATCTTTCTCAGGGCGAGGATGGCTTTCCTGGGTTCAAAGGGGACATGGGCGTGAAAGGTGACAGGGTGAGTAGAAACCCACACACTGGCCCTCCAACCCTAAGTCCTGATGTTCCTCCATGTTGGAGCCCCCAATCACCAGCCTATTTCCTGAAACCCCAGACTCCCCATCTCCAGTGCTCTTCTCCCTTGGAGTCTGACCCAGCAGGATGACAGCTTGCACAGTCTGCATCCCATCAGCCTGATAGTCACAATGCTCTCCCTGTCCCTGTGGGGCTCCCTGTCCTGCAGTAGCTTCTGGGACCCTACTCTGCTTCACCGGGGTCCACCTCTCCTTTTGGGGCCCAGGCCACACCATCAGTCCCTGACACTCCCCTCTTCAACCGTCTTACCCAGGGAGAGGTTGGAGTTCCTGGTTCCAGGGGAGAAGACGGTCCCGAGGGGCCGAAGGGACGCACTGGACCCACTGGAGACCCTGGCCCCCCTGGGCTCATGGGTGAAAAGGTGACAGGGGACGGGAGGGTATGAGGGCCTGGGCCCTGGGATCAGGATGGGCTTGGGGGTGCCAACAGCTGGAGTCAATGAGTCATTTGAAGACCTCTATACATTAATTATGCTCCTCTCTGTAGAAGGCACCCCCTGGCCACTGACAGTTGGGGGTGGGGGGGGGGATATATAAGAAGTGAAGGAAAAGTCCCTGTCGTGAGAATTTACGTGGCATAGAGGTGGGGACAAGGCATGAGGCTGGCATAAGGAATGTAGGTATAAGGCAGAGTGAAAATGTGTTCAGACTCAGAGCAGCAGGAATTGCAAGAAGGGAGAGTCAAAGAGGAGGTGAGCGCAGACCTGCAGAGCTAACTCTCAGTAAGCCCTCAACGGGGGCCAACACTGCGCCTGCTTGTCCTAAGCCTCCTGTTGCAGAGAGCGTTCACTGAGGCACCAGGAGGTGAAGAGGCTTGTTAGTAACACAGCCAGTGAGGGGCATGGCATGGGTTTGAGCCCAGGCAGGCTGCAGAATCCCTGCTCCTAACCTCGGCTTCACTGCTGTCTGGGCAAGGCGGGCCCTGAAGCATCAGGAGGAAGGGGGGGTGCCAGGGGGCTTGGGGTGGTGCAGACATGGGTGGGGGGCGGAGGTGGTCCTGAGTGTGGTGTGTGCGAACCTGCAAGGGGACTGGTCTTGGTGGCGTAGGAGTGTGTGCTGGGAAAGGAGAGCTGAGGTTGACCGGTAGGAGGGGCTAGATCACGATCCTGAGGAACTTGAAGGAGCTGCGGATTTAAAGACACAGAGGAGGCAAGATCCCAGCACCAGAGTTGGGGAAAATCCACTCTCAGGAAGGAGAGATGACAAAGGCCAGGCAGCCTGTGGAGTAGGAGATGAGGGGTCAGGGGCTGGAGATTTGCTGGGGAGGCTTGCTGGGTGGGGGCTGGCTCCCGTCTCTGGGGCTTGGGGTCTCCAGGGATGGTGTGGTGTCTGACCCATCTTGCTCCTAACTGCTCCTGTCTCTCCACAGGGCAAGCTGGGTGTTCCTGGTCTGCCTGGCTACCCTGGACGCCAGGGTCCCAAGGTGATATGGTGCCCCATTTGTGACCCCTCCTCCTCTTCCCTTCTCTGACCCCCGATTCCAGGAAGCACAGACTGACAGAGCAGTGGGGGACCCTAGAACAAATTTAGCCTAGCCGCATTCTACAGATGGGGGAACCGAAGGCCCGGCAGCAGCGGGGGTTTGTCCAAGGTCACCAAGTTATTGGAAGAGCACAGGCCTCCCACCCTACTGCCTCCATCACCTCTCTTGACCCCTGCTGGCTCTTCTAGGCCCTCCCCTTTCCTGACGTCTCAATTTTCTCCCTCTCCATCCTCCCCAGGGGTCCCTGGGATTTCCTGGTTTTCCTGGTGCCAGTGGAGAGAAGGGAGCCCGGGTAAGCTGGGGCAAGGGAGAGGGTGCGGAGGGCAGGCCTGTGGGTGGAATCATGCCCTGGTTGATGTGTTGTTTCTGCTTCCTTCCCATCAGGGCCTGTCGGGGAAGTCAGGGCCTCGGGGAGAGCGGGGCCCCACGGTGAGTGCAAGGGGCAGACATGTGGCTCAAGATCCAAGGAGGTCCAATTGGGTTTTTCTGACAACTCCTCTCCCCTCTCTCTAGGGTCCCCGGGGTCAGCGGGGACCCCGAGGTGCCACTGGGAAGTCTGGCGCTAAGGTTAGTGGTCTTGGCAGGGTTCCATCTGCCGTCTGCCCCTTAGCCCAGCTCCCTGTTGACTCCTCTGACCTCCAGCAGAGCTAGAAGGCAGTGCCTCTTGCCCTCTGACTCTCTTTCCCCCCAACAGGGAACATCAGGTGGTGATGGCCCCCATGGGCCCCCCGGAGAAAGGGTGAGTACAGCTTGAGTCTCCTGTTCCCCAGTGCTCCCCAGGATCCTTAGTGGAGCCCTCGCTCTTTCACCCTGGTGGGGGGGTGAGGTGGGGGGAGCTGCACCCCGTGACCATTCTCCTGATTCAATCCGGCTCTTTCTCTAGGGTCTCCCTGGACCTCAAGGCCCCAATGGATTTCCTGGCCCCAAAGGACCTCCGGTAAGCTAACCTCTGACCTCTGACCCGCTTGGGTTCTGTGAATCCTTCTTCTCCAACCTCCTTCCAACCCAGAGTTCACCTGACACCTGAATCCCTTCTAGGGTCCCCCTGGGAAGGACGGGCTGCCAGGACACCCAGGCCAGAGAGGAGAAGTGGTAAGTAATGCCCCGGGCCCCCTCAGACCTTCCAGAGCTGTCTGGAAGGCCCACCAGGGAGGTTCTGCTGGCAGAGTGATCATCCTGGTGCTGCTCAGACCCATGGCCAAGGGCTCCGTGGTGACTCTGCCCTTCCCCCAGGAACCTGGGATCCATCCCACAGTGTCCATGCCTGACATACTTTGACCACTCTCTCCCCTCTTCCTTTTTCAGGGTTTCCAAGGGAAGACTGGCCCCCCTGGCCCTCCAGGGGTGGTGGGACCTCAGGTATGTCTGCTCCCTGGGGAGAGTGGGCCCCAGACCCTGGAGTCAGTTTGTCTGCCCCTCTTCTCCCTTGTCCCAATCACATGCCCCAGCCCCTGCTTTGCCTGACCTGGACGCCAGGGCTGGGATTTGGAGCAGGATCCCAACTGGGCCAGTTCTCATCTCGTGTCCCAACGGGGCAGCTCCCCAGTGGGGACGCAGGGTGGTGCAGTTATCCCAAACTGGGGAATTACAGTGGCCGAGGAGAGCCCCAGGAATTCCCCAGTAGCTTTGGGGCGGGGATAAAGCGGGTCCAGAGGGGTCATTTTAGGGTGGCAGGGTGGCCTCTTTGGGCAGGGAAGGGGGCAGACGGTCTGAACTTGGAGTCTTTCTGTCTCTTTCTCAGGGAGCAGCAGGAGAAACCGGGCCCATGGGGGAGAGAGGTCACCCCGGCCCCCCAGGTCCCCCGGGAGAGCAGGGACTGACTGGAACAGCTGGAAAAGAAGGAACGAAGGTCAGTAAAGGGCCAGGCAGAGGGGAACTTGGGAGACCAGGGTTGGGGTGCTGAAGGGAACAGATAATTTGGGAATTGAGAAAGGCCAGAGACCTCTCTGTCCAATATGGGAGCATGGCTGTGGCTCATGACCTTTTGTTTCATCTTAGGGTGACCCTGGTCCCCCAGGGGCTCCAGGGAAGGATGGACCTGCTGGTCTGAGGGGCTTCCCAGGGGAGAGAGGCCTCCCCGGCACTGCCGTGAGTGTGATCCCGGTCTCCCAACAAGTCACGGGGCATCCTGGCGTCGCTCAGCATCACCCCCCCTCCCATTCCTCCGAATCTGTCTCCTCTCCCCTCCCCTCATCCTTCCCTGCATGTCTCTTGGACCCTCATTCTTGTAATGTCCCCCCTGCCCGTCTCACGTCTGTTGCTCCAAATCTCTGGTTCCTAGGGTGGATCCGGTTTGAAGGGAAACGAAGGTCCGGCCGGTCCCCCTGGCCCTGCAGTGAGTCTGGGGGTCCTGGGGGGCAGGAGGGAGGAACCAGGAAAGAGTGGGTGAGGAGGGATGAAGAGTGGCATCTGGATCTAGGCAAGGCTGGGTACTGGGCAGAGGGGGTCTAGGATCAGCCATAGTGTATTCAATTTTGGGCTCTTCTCCTGAGAACCAGGGTCAGAGCTCCTCTGGTGTGGGTGGACTATGGTGTCCTCCTTGGGGGTCTGACTCCATTTCCTGTCTCAGGGCTCCCCTGGGGAGCGAGGTGCCGCAGGATCTGGGGGACCCATTGGCCCCCCGGGGCGCCCAGGCCCACAGGGTCCCCCTGGAGCCGCAGGAGAGAAAGGTGTCCCGGTGAGTGTGGGGTCCCTGGGGAGAGACACTGGGGAAGGGTCTGAGCTGTGAGCTGCTGGGCTATGGAGGGTTTCCTGTTAGGGTGTTTGAGGGTGAGGGTCATTTTCAGGTCATGACTCCTTTCTTCTTTTCCTACAGGGTGAGAAGGGCCCCGTTGGTCCAACTGGCCGAGATGGGGTACAGGGTCCTGTGGGTCTCCCTGGTCCTGCTGGACCCCCGGGTGTGGCAGGAGAGGATGGAGACAAGGTGTGGAACCTACAGACCCTGGGCCCAATCTTTCCAGATGAGATCGCTGATCTGGGCATGCCTCCCACCCCTATCCCTGTCTTATCCTCCCTGCCCCACCCAGGGCCTTTCTCTAAGATCTCATCTGCCTTGTCCCCGCAGGGTGAGGTGGGAGACCCCGGACAGAAGGGCACTAAAGGGAATAAAGGTGAACATGTAAGTGACCATGACTTTTGACTTCTGACTTCTGGCCTTTATTAGCCTTGTTTCTACCTGGTTTCTGTCCCTGTCTTGGTGTCTCTGACTCTCCTTTTTACCCCAGGGCCCTCCTGGACCCCCTGGACCCCTTGGTCCTGTGGGGCAACCTGGAGCAGCGGTAAGTGACTGATGTCCCGTCTGCCCCCTCCCTGCCCACCCCCCAGGGGCGCTGGCAACTTCCAGTCTGCCCTCAGTTCCCCTTTGCCCTTGGGGTTGAGCTTGGGAGTGGGGGCTCTGGGCCTGGCGCCCAGCTCGGTGTGAGGTTTGTGAATAGAGAACTCCTGACCCATGACCATCTGTGTCCTCGTCCCTGCCCTCCCTCCACCTCAGGGAGCAGATGGGGAGCCCGGAGTTCGGGGACCCCAGGGACACTTTGGAGTCAAAGGTGATGAAGGAACGAGAGGATTCAATGGGCCCCCAGGTCCCATTGGCCTACAGGTGGGTTGGGGGGTAGAGGCAGGGGCTGAGAGGTGGGGTCAGGATGGGTCTGATGACCATCCCCTGCTGCTGAGGACTGGGGAGGTGGGGCAGAGGACTGGGGGGCATGAGAGATCGGAGGGAAGGGCACTGGAGGCTCCGTCTACCTGGAGCTGTGCTCTGGTGCGTTGGTCATCTGAGTCTGTGCCGTGTACCCCTGCACAGGGTTTGCCAGGCCCCTCGGGTGAGAAAGGAGAAACAGGAGATGTGGGCCCTATGGTGAGTGAGACCCCACTGACAGCGTGTGACCCTCTGGCCCTAACCCCACCTACTAGTCTCCCCCTATCCAGCTCCCGCAGCATCCCCTGCTCCCTGCATACTGCTTCCTGGCGGGGCTGCCCCCCTCCCCTGCTACCCCGCCCCCCACGATGTCTGCCTCACCCAACCCTCAGCCATTCCTGTGTGCTTAATGCTCTTTCTTTCTCTTCCCGTCCCCATCTCTGCTGTATCTCTTTTCCCCAGGGACCACCTGGCCCCCCAGGACCTAGAGGCCCAGCTGGACCCAATGGAGCTGATGTGAGTCCTCTCAGCCTCTGTCCCTTCAGATCACTCTGGCCAGTTCTGCCTCCCTTTCCCCAGACTACAAACTCTAGTCTCATCTCAGCTGCTATGAAAAGTCAACGGCCCTGGAAGGCCTCCCATTGTCTCACTGCTGTGACCTCAGGGTGCTCATTCAGGCTCTACCTCCTCCCTTAAGCAATGATTCCTACTTCTGTTCCTCTTCCAGGGTCCGCAAGGTCCCCCGGGAGGTGTTGGGAACCTGGGTCCCCCTGGAGAGAAGGTAACTGGGAAGGGGGTGAATGAATGGACTTGTCCCGGACAGGGGGTATCAAGGTTGGACTTCTGCCAGTTTTGATTGGGGGTGGGACAAAAGGGAATGAGATGTGGGGAATATCAAGATTTTTTGGGGAAAGGAGGTTTTTGACCTGAGTTTCCTTGCAGGGGGAGCCAGGAGAGTCAGGAGCTCCAGGGGTCCAGGGCGAGCCAGGTGTCAAAGTGAGTGAAATCTCTGAGGCCTTGCTCCCTAATCCCCATCACCCTCCTCAACACCAGCTCCCGGTTGCTGTGACCTCCCGGAGCTGGAGCGTCTCCAAAGCCCAGGAGCCTGTTCTCCTAATCCTCTGTGAGGCTGGACCCCTGGGTCTGAGTGAGCCCCATGCTCTTTCTTTGAAGGGAAGCAGGACCAGAGGACTCCCTATGGGCTTGACTTTCTGTGTGCATCCCCCTGTCACTGAGGGGGTGGAGGGGAGGCTGAAGGTATCTTGGAAGCAGGGGCTACGTCCTTGATCTTCAAGACCCCTTTGGGACCATCTGTACCCTCTACTCATCCTTCAGGGCCCACGCGGGGAGCGTGGGGAGAAAGGAGAGTCGGGGCAGCCAGGAGAGGCAGGACCACCAGGGCCTAAAGGCCCCGCCGGTGATGATGGCCCCAAAGGGAACCCTGTGAGTTTGGGGGGAGGGGCTGGGAAGAGGGCCTTGTGAATGAGAGACCTGGGAATGTGGGTGTGTGTGAGTGGGAGGGTCTTGCAGTAGGGGGAACCCAAGAATGGGGGACCATTTGGGTGGAAGACTCTGGGAATGAGGTCTCCTGGGAGGGATGTTTGGGATCTGAAATCCAGAGAGAGAAAGTGAGAGATGCCTTCTAATTAATTCCCTGAAAGCATCAGAAAGCATGAAGTGCATGAGGTGGGGAAGACAGAGTGCGGGAGACTATCTCCCCAGGGTGTGCAGGTGGGTAAGGCCTGCAGAAAGGGAGAATGTGACATGTGCCCTGGGGCTCTGTGTTGGCTCTGGAGGCTTAGGGGGTTGTGACCTTGACCCTGTTCTCCACATTAGGGTCCTGTTGGTTTTCCTGGTGATCCTGGCCCTCCTGGAGAAGGTGGCCCTCGGGTGAGTCTTCCCTAGGGAGAAGAAGAGGGAGAGAGGGTGGGCTCCTGTACAGGGCCTTCATGCGGCTGATGGGCTTGAGTGGGGGAAGCTGGGGGTATGGCAGGGCAGGCAGAGGGATGAGAGGATTGGCAGTTTTGCGGCTGATGCCAGCCAGGTTGGGGCAACCCCTGACCTTGCTTCATCCCTGCAGGGCCAGGATGGTGTGAAGGGTGACCGAGGAGAGGATGGCGAGCCAGGACAGTCTGTGAGTGACCAGTGACCCCTCCCTCCACCACCGAGCCCAAGCCTTCAGGACCATTACCCCCTTTTTATACCCTGCTCCTGAAGGGTCCATTGGCTGGAGGCTAAACACTCACCCACCCCTATTCCTCCCTCCATAGGGATCCCCTGGTCCCACTGGGGAGAATGGACCTCCTGGACCACTTGGAAAGCGGGTAAGTGAGGTGGACATCTGGGACCTTGAGGGGCAGTCCTTGGGCAAGGTAGATGGAGGATGGGGCAGTGGCAGATGGGATGGTCAGGGGGGTGCCTGGGGATGGGGTGCATGTGCGTGAACATTGTATTTGTAAGTGTGCCGTGTATAAGTGAGTATGTCTGTTCCTGGGTATGTTCTTGCTGGGGGCGGGGTGGGGGTAGTACTCATCAACTGATCAGAATGCACCCTGGAGGAAGGGGCTAGCTTTCCTGGAGGGCCCCTGCTAGGCTAAGGATTAACCCTCTAGTTGCTGGGGTAGAAGGTGGCGCACTAGATGGTGTGTGGGCAAGTGACTCTTTGCTGAATACACAGAGCTCCTCAGTATTTTAACAACTGGTACAGCTGTACCAGCTCATCTGTCAATCAGCTCCTGTGACTCTGATGGTGCGTGCACAAGTGTGTGTGTGTGTGTGTGTGTGTGTGTGTGCAGGGGGAAAGTAGCTGAGCCTGGAGACTCACTACCTCATTGACTTTTCCTTCCTGTCTCCATCTGCAGGGTCCTGCTGGCTTGCCTGGTCCTGAGGGGCGGCAAGGAGAGAAGGGAGCCAAGGTGAGGGCGAGGCTATCCTGGATGCTGGAATATTCCCTCCATCTCCTGGCACCTCTGGTTCCTCAGATTCCTCTCTCCAGATGTCTACCCCATGCTGAGCCTCTTGTCTCGAGGGAGGTTCCCTGTACTTATTCCTGTTCCTGCTCCAGGAGCTCCTGGGGTTTGGCGCCTCCTCTCTGCCTCATCCTGTCCACCTTGGACCCCCCTACCCCCACCCGTACCCCTTTCCTTTGCCCTTTAAGACTCATTCCTTGTACACGTTTCAGGGGGATCCTGGTGCTGTGGGTGCCCCAGGGAAGACAGGTCCCATGGGTCCAGCAGGCCCAGCAGGGAAACCTGGTCCTGATGGTCTAAGGGGACTCCCAGGCTCAGTGGTGAGTCATGGAGCAGAGAGGCTTGGCTGGGGGTAGGAGGGGTCCGGGGCCTTTGGAGGGGTGCCTGTGTGGGGACAGTTCTCCTGATCTCTGTGGTCCCCTTGAATCTGCAGGGTCAGCAAGGCCGTCCTGGGGCCACAGGCCAGGCGGGGCCTCCAGGTCCTGTGGTGAGTGACTCTGGATTAGGTGGGGTGGGTGGGGGTGAGGATGGTGGTGCCCTTGGGCAGTGGGCATCCAGCTGAAGCCCTGGAGGAAGTGGAAAATGGCAGTGGGGAGAGCTTGTTCCCACCTTTCCATGGAGAGAGTGACTTCCTGTCTCCTCACAGGGGCCCCCGGGGCTTCCTGGCCTTCGAGGTGATGTTGGAGCCAAGGGCGAGAAGGTGAGTGACAGACATGCGGCCAGGTATCTCCCCTCAACTTCACCCCGGAAGCCTATGGGGACCCTGAGTGCCTACCACTGTGCTCAGGCCTCCAGCACCGAGGGGGTTCTTACTCAGCATCTTACACAGCATCTTTGGGGGTCCTTACTCAGTGAGGATTGTTCACAGGCCCTGCTCTGTCCTCAGGCTCTGTGCCCAAGTCTCTCTTGTCTTCTGGGCTCTGACCCCTGTGGGCTTTTTCTTCTGCACCCACGTGTCTCATCTCTGCCTCCCCCGACCACCTGTCCGTTCTCCAGGGTCACCCAGGTCTCATCGGACTGATCGGGCCCCCTGGGGAGCAGGGAGAGAAGGGTGATCGGGGACTTCCTGGCCCTCAGGGCTCTGCTGGACAGAAGGGAGAGACGGTGAGGACATGGTCTTGGAAGGTCTGGGTGGATGAGTGTGGGGATTTGTGTTGGGGGTGGAAGGGAGGAGGTGAAGACTCAGCTGGGGGGTAAGGGAGGGGGTGTGGAGGAGGACCCAGTTGAACCATGCCCCTCTCCTTCCTAGGGTATCCCGGGAGCATCTGGTCCTATTGGTCCTGGAGGGCCTCCTGGCCTCCCTGTGAGTACCCCATCTGTTCCTCACTAAATCCCCTCAACCCCACTACTCCCCGCTCCATAATCCCCCAATGGCTTCCATGGCAACCACCAGCCTAAGCAGAATAGGCCCCAGTGTCCTCCATATGTCCTCACACCCGCAGTGTTCCCCCCGATCCTTCCAGGGCCCCCCGAATATCCCCGTGGTCCCTCACGCCTGCCCCTCCCTCCTGCTGTAAAGCCAGGGTCCTGTGGACTCATGATTTAGCCTCTCCATTCCTCCACGTCCCAACCGTCCCCTGTGGTGACCGTCTCTCTCTTGTTCCTCATTTCACAGGGACCTGCTGGCCCCAAAGGAGCCAAAGGAGCCACAGTGAGTGACCCCCAGGCAGCTGTGAGCTCTGCCCCCTTCCCCCAGCTGGACTTGACGCTTTCTCTCCAGGGCAAACATGCTCCCTCCAGTGGAGCTCCTCATTCCCAGCCCAGAGACTGACTTGATCCTTCTGGGGCCTTGATTGCATGCGTGACCCCTTGACTCCTCCATGACCTCATTTACTCCTTTGGCAGGGCCCAGCTGGACCCAAGGGAGAGAAGGGCGTCCAGGGTCCTCCAGGATACCCGGTGAGTTACATGTCAGGGCCTGCTTCTCTGCCTCGGCCTCTCTATCTCCTTGTTTCTCAGCTTCCCCCTCCTATCAATCTTGTCTCTCACCTTCTCCATCCATCCCTCCAACCAGGGCCCCCCGGGCGAGGTGATCCAGCCCCTGCCCATCCAGATGCCCAAGAAGACTCGGCGCTCGGTGGACGGAAGCCGCCTTATGCAGGAGGATGAGGCCATACCGACTGGGGGGGCTCCGGGCAGTGCTGGGGGGCTGGAGGAGATCTTTGGCTCTCTTGACTCCCTGCGGGAGGAGATTGAGCAGCTGAGGCAGCCGACAGGGAGCCAGGACAGCCCCGCTCGCACCTGCCAGGACCTGAAGCTCTGCCACCCGGAGCTGCCTGACGGTCAGTGCCCGCTTCAGGAAACAGCGTAACAACAATGAAAAGCAGAATGGATGCCAGGACTCCTTGGGGAAGGTGTGGGGTAGGGGTGAGGGCCCAGGGGCTTGGAGCAGCAGCTCTTTACCAACTAGGTCAGAAGGCTTTCAACATTTAACAACTGATCTGCTCCTACCAGCGCGTGCCGGCTCACAATCAGCCCGCTGTCTACAGGGAGTGACAAACATGCGCACGTGTACACACGTGTTTGCATTTACAGACGGGCATGCGTGCGAATCTACGACCACATATCATACCGACGTGAGGGAGTCAGTGCTCCTGCCTCCTCCGTCGGGAGCCTGGGGGTACTGCTGCAGGGAGGGGTGCCACAGGCGGGCAGGGGTGTAAGGTGATGATGGAGTGCGAAGTAGGGTGGGCAGCGTTGTGGGGTTCTGGGGGACAGTGGGACCTGGAGACTGAGGTCATGGTGGGGAAGGGGGTGGGGAGGGTGGGGGGGTTAGAGCAGCGGGGTGGGGAGTGGGAAGGGGAGCAAGGAGCGTCTTGGGTCCCACCTGTGGGGGCCCTGACCCTTCCCTCTCCCTCACCCAACAGGAGAGTACTGGGTCGACCCCAACCAGGGCTGTGCTCGGGATGCCTTCCGGGTTTTCTGCAACTTTACAGCGGGGGGGGAAACATGTGTGACCCCCAGGGATGACGTCACGCAAGTGAGAGCTGGCCCCTGACTTCCTCCCCTGCCTCACTCACAGCCCCAGTGGCTTCTGGGATTCTGGGACAGGCACCCTGGCCCTACAGAACCTGCTGCCCCTTCTTTCCTTGACTCTTCACTTCTCACCACCAGCCCGCCGCTGCTCACTTTGTCTCCTTCCCTTGACAACCCAAGACAAAGCTTGCCTTTTGTTTACCCTCAGTCAGTCCCCGGCTCCCGCTTTGGCCCCTCATTCTCCCCCAGCCCTTTCTGCCCGCCCCCGTTCCCTGCCCGTGACCCTGCCCGTGACACTGGCCCTGGGTCCCCGCTTCCGTAGACGCTCCGCAAGCCCTGCTCTGTCTGCCCCTCACTCGCTGGCCTCTCTCCTGCCAGTTCTCTTACGTGGACTCAGAAGGCTCCCCGGTCGGTGTGGTCCAGCTCACCTTCCTGCGGCTGCTCAGCGTCTCAGCCCACCAAGATGTCTCGTACCCCTGCTCTGGGGTGGCCCAAGATGGTCCCCTGAAGCTCCGGGGGGCCAATGAGGATGAGCTGAGCCTGGAGACCAGCCCCTATGTCAAGGAATTCAGAGACGACTGTCAGGTGGGAAGCAGGAAGAGCTGGGCGGGGGGGTGCATCCTGGAGTCAGGCTGCTGGAAGACCCTTTGGGCAGAGGCACCCAGGAAGAGCAGGAGCAGTCCCACTTCTTTGTGTCAGATACAGCCGAGGGAGCGCTGGCAGGGGCGAGGAGGGTGGGGCTCACCTCTGGGCACACACCAGCATCACCCGGAGTGAGCCACGCCGGCTCGTGCACATGTTCACACGGGTTGTGCGACAGAGGCATGCAGGGGTGCAGATCACCCCCCAGCCTGTGAAGGCACAGGAGCGCACAGACACCCACAGTCTGTACATACACCCCCAGCGTTGCCTGGCCAGGGTCACCCAGGCATACACATGGGGAATCAGGTCAGATAGTGTCACAGTTACACCACAGACACCTGTTTACACATCCCTGTGGGGTGACCCAGACTCGCACAACCACCACAGTGGATAATCTCAAAGACAAGCCCAAAGCCGCAGGGACTGGCTTGTGAGCCCATGTGCGTGTGGGTGTACACACGTGCACACGTACACGCATATCCAATCTTCCTAGCTTTCCCAGGCCTGACTCTGGGAGAAATTTGAGGAAGGAAGTCTAGCAAGTCTGACCACGTGACAAGGATTGGGTGCTCAGAGGAGAGGCGAGCCCGGCCGAGGCTGGGGCATCCGTGGGGCGTGCGCGTGCCTCCACCACGCTCACTGCTCCCTCTCCCCCTTCTCCCCCCAAGACACAGCAAGGCCGGATGGTGCTGGAGGTGCGGACACCTGTGGTGGAGCAGCTCCCAGTGCTGGACGCCTCCTTCTCAGACCTGGGGGCCCCCCCTCGGCGGGGAGGGCTGCTGCTGGGGCCCGCCTGCTTCATGGGCTAGGACCTTCTCTGTCTGACCCTGTCCGCTGAAACCAGGCCCACCTGGAATCCCACAGCATCAGCTCTGTGCCATCTCCTGAGAGGGCTCCTCACCATCTAGGGGGCTCTGGGCCAGGGCGCCGAGAGCCCCCAGTCAGGGGCAGACCAGGGGAGGGGTGAAGCGCACGTGTCGGGCGCCCCAGGGGAGGGGTGGCATCTGGGGCTCTTGGCCCTCCCACCTGGAGCCTGTGACCTGTTAGACAGCCGGGACCCTTATTTAAAACTCACCTCCCAATCACCCCCAAACAAGTGGAAGAGAAGAGAAAGGACACTGTGTATTTTGTATTTAAAAGTAATTATATTAATTATTTAAAGAGTGGAGAACAAAAGAACAAAAAAAGATAAAGAGAGAAATGCCAACAAAAATCAGCAGACTTCAGAGACAGGGCTCCCCAGGGGTGAGCCCCGGCACCCTCCTCCTTGCCTCAGGGCTTTCCTCAGTGACTGTGGGGGGACGTTTTCAGGCCAAACCCCACCTCCCTCACAGCCCGCCTGCAGCACCCACTGTGAATGTTGGAATATATGGTCTCCTTTGCCTCAGGGTCTGACTCTCTCTGCCCAGGGTGGGGCTTTCTCCGCTCCACCTCCCGGGTGTTTGGCTCCCTGACCCACACACTGGCTGTCTCTCACTTGGTCTGGGGCTTGCAGGACCTGCCTGTGACTTGGGGAGCAGGTCGCACCCCCCAGGGGGAACTGGAAGGGTGAGGGGTGAGAGCAGGACCTGTATTCAGTACTGTTGAAATACGGAAATTCATCCTTATGAGCTTGTCAATCCCATGGCTCTGAGCCCCTGAGTATCCCACTGCCATCCTGGCCACCCTGGTCCCACCCCTGAGCACCCCCACACCTTCCCTGATCCTGCTATGGAAGAGTTAATGTGTGGCATCTGGATGGAAGGGACTCCCAGGACCTTGTCTAGCCCTATGACCAGTGTCCGTTCTGACTGATGGTTAAATAATGTGATCACCTCCTCCCGGGGCACACATGTGTGGTGCTTGTGTTGTTATTTCAACCCCGGACCAACCTGTACCCCTCTTTGCCAGCTGAGGCTTTACCAGAAATGGAAGGCTTAATCCCTTTCCCCAGGGGGCCTGTCCTTTTGTGGTATCAGGGCCCAGAAAAAGTTCATAAAACCTGGCTGACAAGTCCAGACTCACCAACTGATCTCCCAGTGACATCAGGTGGAGCGCCAGGGCTCTGTCTGACACGGATGCTGGATTGTTTCTGGGTGAGGGTGTGCCTGTCTTCCTTGTGTCCAGGTCAAACATGGCCTTCCTGCACCCCGGGCCCCATCTTTAGGGACCTCGGGGCTGGAAGGGGGCCTTACATGGTCTAGTCCAAACTCTTGGCAAATGAGGAGACTGAGACCCATATCCAAGACAATGTTTCTTGCCCCTGTGCCTCTGGTCACCTCATCCTTCCCCTTCAGGTGTGCCGTGGTCCTGGCAGCAGGTGTGGTCGAAGGCCACCCACACCTGCGCATATTACCGGCTATGCCCTTCCAGGCTTCTCTCTGTGTCAAGTGCACAGTCCTTGGCCCGTCGTGTGCTGATCTGCCCCCACGTACTCCTTCCTCAGCGGCCCCTCTCAGGGCTTGTTCAGTAGCTCTGTGCCCTCTGAGTCTGGGTAGGGCCCTTCTGTTCAGGGCAGCCGCTCAGCCAGGCATCCCTAGCTGGCTTCCCCGCCTCTCCTGGGGTTTCCGATCCTTACACAGCGTTTCCTGGCTCCCTCCCCTCCCGCCAGTAGAATAAAACTTACTCCGGGGCCTCTTCCCAATCCTCGCTGGAGCTCGCTTGGGCCCATGTGTGCTTGCCGGCGGCCTCAACCCGCGCCCCCAGGTGGGCCCGGGAGGGACCCCGAGTCCCAGGAGGCCGCACCCCGCCCCTCCTGCTGGATCCCCGACCGCACAGCCTTGATCGTCCCCGTCCTGAGGAGAGAACTCCTTTCTCTGAAACCCTAGAGTGGTGGAGCAAGCTCACTGTCGATCCAAGGAAGCTCTCTTATGGGGTCTAGAAGCCCAGCCTGGCATCGACTGTGGGCAGGAAAACCGTTTGCAGGTGAAAACAACAACAAAAACAACCCCCCCAAAACAAACAAAAAAACCTTCTCCACGCATCTCCGCCTCTGCTGCCCCCTGGTGCCGGAGCCAAGACCTCGGCCCGCCAAAGGGCCGGTGGAGTAAAACGTCCCTAACACGCTGCCCCTTCCTTTGTCACCCACGGAACTCCCACTTTCCCAACCCAAGAGGAGGCTGAATGGAGGGGAAGCCCCCTGATCTCGTCTTTTCGGGGTCAGGCGGTGGATGGGTTTTTGGGATCACTGACACCCTCGGTCTCAGTCTCCAAGTCCCAAAGGCTTCGCGCAACCCCCTCCCTTTCCTCCTGGGCCTCAGCTCAAGGGAAGATCAGATCTAAATAGATCCTTGCCCACACCCATTCCCAGCCAGGCTGGGCCAGAGCTGGGCTTTTCCGGGCTCTCTCTGCAATTGGAGCCAAACCCACAGAGGTTGCCCTCAGAGCACAAAGGGGAGTGTCCCCAAAGGTCCCTTTTGGTCAGATGCTCTGAGCTCAGAGGGCTTTTCATCATGAAGCAATGCCATACATTCACTCAGATAACATTTATACATGGCAGTTGGGTCCCAGGCCAATCCACAAAAGCCTATTTAGCTAGAAGGCCAACCAACCCCAGACAACAGTTTTACGAGCGATTCTGTGCCAAGTTGCAGCGGAGAATGTCAGAACCACAGCCGTCTCCTTGCAGCGGGACTTTTGCCTCCCGTGGGACAAACGAGAGCCTGGCTCTAAGGACAGATGGGAGGATCTGAAGGGCAGAGGTGGGAGTTTTGGGATGGCGCTGGGTGTGGGTAGCGCAGGGGCATGTGGGTGCTGGTAGCAGCTCCAAGGGCTGTGGGCGGTGGAGGCTTCTGGATGGGGCGGGGAGTCTGTAAAGAGGAGAGAGGCAGAGACTTTGGGGAGCTACTTTGGGTTTGATTGGGTCAGAACACAAACTTGCGGGAAGGGCTGGGTTCTGAAACTCCTGACTGCCTCTCAAACAAGTTTAACTTGAACCCAGTAAGGAGGAGGGAGTCACTGATGATGTTTGGAAAGATAAGTGATATGACAGATGTGTGCATTAGCAAGACCCCACCCAGGTTGGATGAGGCTGTGAAGGGCCTGGACACAGGCCCACAGCCAAACTACCTCAGGGAGGTAGTGAGATTTTGCGCGAAGGCTGTGGGGATGGGTGCTCTAGCCCTTCACACTCTTGGAGCTGCTTCTTAGCCTCGCGCTGAGATTTTTGGCATCGTAACTTATGGTCAAAAAACAGCTTGTAAAATTCGGACCGCTTGGATTTCTGTACCTGGGAGCACTACATATCCCAGAAGGCCTCAAGATCCTTGGCTGTGTTGCATGTTGGGATTTGTAGTTTCTGTATGGATCAGGGTAGGTCGGGGTAGAGACCGACAGGGAAGGGAGTGGGTCAAGATGAGGCTGTAGTTGCCTCAGAAAAAAGTGCCTGTGCAGTAGGCGGTGGTGACCCAGTTTTGTGGGTATGTAGCCCCTATTCCTTCAAGTTTGGTGTGGTCAGCAGAGAGTGTTAGGGCCATATCCTAACAGGCCATGGTAACGTTTCCCAACTCAAACCTGTGCAGGTGAGCAGAAATCACCCCTGGGTGCTTGCCATCGGCTTCCTTTTACTTTTTTATTTTTCTCACCTTCAGGGTAGTTTCATGGGAACCGGCACTACCGGCTGACTGCCTTCTCAGTTGGGAAGACCTGTCCCACTGGTCCCTGAACGAGGACCAGGGACATCTATAAGGGCACCTCCTTTAGGGTTACCCTCAAGCAGCCAAGATGGTAGAATAAGCCGCAGTGAGAGCCAGCCCACCACACTGCCTTCCCTCAGGTAACAGGGGCATGACAATCCACTGGTTAATTTGCTCTGCCTTCTCTTTCTAGTAGTAACATCTTTTTAAAAGACTTTATTTTTTTATTTGAGAAAGAGAGAGAGTGCAAGAGAGCACGAGAGAGAGAGAGAGAGAGAGAGAGAGAGTGAGCCAGCACGAGCAGGAGGGAAGGGGCAGAGGGAGACGGAGAAGCAGATTCCCTGATGAGCCAGGAGCCCTACGCAGGGCTCGATCCCAGGACCCTGGGATCATGACCTGAGCCGAAGGCAGACGCCCAACTGACTAAGCCACCCAGGCGCCCCTCTATTAGTTACATCTTACTTCCAGGTGGAAGGCCTTTTGAATAGGTACGTGGTTTTCTAAAGCATAACAGATAAAAGCGACACTGGATACTATGGCAGCTGGTGTAAAGGTCACGTTCCAGGTCTTGCCACTTCACCTCTACAGGGCTGGGTGGTGGTGACGCATTCCTGTGTTATGTTCATGTCTCCCCTCGGTCTGGGCCGTATTGATGGGTCACACAGTGGGCCAGTTCTTCCCACTAACTCAGGTACACCTATGCTATTAGTGCTGGTAGAGATTTCTTCTAACTCTGCAACTTTCCACCACCTGCATTTTTAACACCTTAATATTTTCCCTACCTTTCAGAATTGAAAATCTATAGAAATAAACAAATAAAAATTAAAAACTAGGAAACGTGTTTCAGAGATATTCAGGTTAGGGAGAAGACGGGAAATAGCACCCCATTTGATTGGAGCCCTGGTGGCAGAGGACATCAGACAAAAAAGTCTGCTGTGGCAGCTGGTCTAGGCCGGGTAGGGTTGAGCAGACTCAGGGCGGAGGAGGGTACTGACCGATGCTAGCTGGCAGATCTCTCTGCATTGCTAACCAAGGCTTCTCCTGCATGTAACTTGCCAGTGGTGTTTTGCTTCTGGTGGGGCTACTTTTTTACTATGAGCATCAGTTTTCTCCTATGCAAAATGGGAGAGCACTTGCTCTATCAAGGAATAATCCTCCTGTTAGTGACAACCTTTGCACTGGAAAGAGAAGGGAGGGGAACTGGCCACACTGCCCTGGTTAAATCTCCTTGCCTTGATCACTGCTGACACACTGGGTCTGGGGCACACTGCTCCCCTTTCAACTTCTGATCTTAGTGCTGTCAAGACTCTGTACGTCTAAAGTTTCTTTTCTTTTCTATTCTTTCTTTATTCAATTTTTTAAAAAGAGGTTTTATTTATTTATTTTTGCAAGAGAGAGCATGAGTGGGGTAGGGGGAGAGGGGCAGAGGGAGAAGCAGACTTCTCACTGAGGAGAGAGCGCGATGTGGGGACTTGATCCCAGGACCCTGGGATCACGACCTGAGCCGAAGGCAGACGCTTAAATGACTGAGCCACCCAGGCGCCCATCTATTCTTTTTTTAAATTTATTTTAAATAGGTTCCACACCCCATGTGGGGCTTGAACTCGTGACCCTGAGGTCAAGAGTCACATGCTCTACAGACTGAGCCAGCCAGGCGCCCCTAAAGTTTCTTTTTGTTACAAACATAAAATCTGACTCAGAACAGCTTAAGCCCCAAAGGAAACTTATGATAAAAATGTCAGGGTACTCAGGATTTGAAGGAAGGGTTGACTTCATAGGGAAGAGCAAGGACAGTTATGAGACCTCACGGGTTCATAGACTTTGTCCCTGAGTGTGGCCACAAACACTGCTCCATCAGTCCACTTTCAACCTCTGTGTGTCTGGGCTCTGTGGTTCAGGTTCCTGGAGCTCCAGTCCTGGTGAGCTGTCCCCCTGAGAACCAACTTTCTACGTCTGGTGGCCCAGTGTGACGACAGATAATTTATATGAAGCCCTAGGGGGGTGTAAGGGAGGTGTTGGGGGCACTCTTCCCGCATAAGGTGGGATAATGGAGAAGACACCCCAAGAGGTGCTTGCTATCTTTGCCTCTATGCAGACCCCGTTCTGTAAGTTTGATCAGCATGATCCAACCAGCCCGTCATGACCATATTGGCACTCCCTGACTCACCCTCTCCCCAAGGGCCAACCAAAGTCACTTTCAGCGGTTGTAGCCACGATGTCATGAGCTATCTAATCCCAGAGTCCAGCATCTCTGTTGTTTGTATTTTGCTGCTTTTCTCTTCAGCACATAAACATCCATGACCATGATACCCAGGGCTGCATTATGACTTCTACAAGCCCTACGCACATTTGCCTTTCTGGACCTTTTCCTCAAAAAAAATTCAGAACTGTATTTTATGACTGTGTTGTTATACAGATAAATATATTCATATTATATATTTATATATTAAGATATTTTCTTCAATCTAAGAGTTCATTTTCTATTTTAAAAAGAAATGTAAACATTTTCATGAACCCCCAAAAGGACTGTGGACCCTACGCCCTGTGTCTATTGTGCCAAATGGATAAGTGGACTCTCACTGTGTCTTCATTGAAGATTTTATGCTTTGTTAATAAAAAAAGATCCCTCTTCCTGTTTACTGAATTTTATCTTGATCAGGATATTTTGTCTAATGTTAAAAAACCCTGCTTTTTCTCATTTGCTTTATCTGGTTTCTATGGGATGCCTATCATCTATTTTTAGAACTTTCTTTAATGGAGAATTTCAAATACACGAACTAGAGAGAATGGTAAAATGAATCTTCTGCTATCCATCAGCCATGAGTTGATAAAAATTTTCAACTCATAGCCAATCTTGTTTCATTTCTACCTCACCGACTCCTTCCTCCTCATCTGGATTTTTTTAAAAAATTTTATTTTATTATGTTATGTTAGTCACCATACATTACATCATTAGTTTTTGATGTAGTGTTCCATGATTCATTGTTGGCATATAACACCCAGTGCTCCATGCAGAACGTGCCCTCCTTAATACCCATCACCAGGCTAACCCATCCCTCCACCTCCTCCCCTCTAGAACCCTCAGTTTGTTTCTCAGAGTCCATCGTCTCTCATGGTTCGTCTCCCCCTCCAATTCCCCCCCTTCATTTTTCCTTCCTACTATCTTCTTTTTTTTTTTTTTTTTTAACACATAATATATTATTTGTTTCAGAGGTACAGGTCTGTGATTCATCAGTCTTGCACAATTCACAGTGCTCACCATAGCACATACCCTCCCCAATGTCCATCACCCAGCCACCCCATCCTTCCCACCCCCCTCCACTCCAGCAACCCTCAGTTTGTTTCCTGAGATTAAGAGTCTCTTATGGTTTGTCTCCCTCTCTGGTTTCACTTGTTTCATTTTCCCCTCCCTTCCCCTATGCTCCTCTGTCTTGTTTCTCAAATTCCTCATATCAGTGAGATCATATGATACTTGTCTTTCTCTGATTGACTTATTTCGCTCAGCATAATACCCTCTAGTTCCATCCACGTCATTGCAAATGGCAAGATTTCAGAGTTTTTTTTGATGGCTGCATAATATTCCATTGTGTATGTATATATATACATACAATTCCTCACAGGCACAATTGTTTTCAAGTGACCCCTGGTTAATGTGTCATTAGTGTAATGAACAATATATATATATATATATATATATATATATATATATATATATATATATATATATACATATATTCTTCTTTATTCATCTGGATTATTTTGAATCCATCCCAGATATCTTATGATTCCGTCTGTGAACTTTTCAGTAGGTAGCACTGAGATAAGGACTCTTACAAATATGAGCACAATTCTATTGTCACATCTAAAAATTAATAATCATTCTTATCATCAAATATCCACTCAGTGTTCAGATGTCCTAGATTGTGTGTATGTGTGTGTTTGTTCAAATCATGATCCAAATGGAGCAGATAAAACTCTTTGAAATCTTTAAAAACGTATTTCCTGGGGCACCTGGGTGGCTCAATCAGTTAAGCATCTGACTCTTCATCTTAGCGCAGGTCTTGATCTCAGGGTCATGAATTCAAGCCCTGCATTGGGCTCCACGCTGGGCATGGAGCCTACTTAAAACAAAACAAAACCAAACCTTATTTCCCTAAGTTATTTTTGCTTACTTTTTTTATTATGGAAAAATTTAAACATATGAAAGCAGCTTATTTTTTCTCTTTTTAAAAGAATTAATAAGTATTACTTTTCTCAGTTTTCATTTTGAATACTATAAATATCCATAACATAAGACATACAAGGAAAGCCTTTTGGGCTCTCAATAATTTTTAAGAGTCAAGAGAGTCCTGAGTTGAGGGAGGAAACATTGTAAATCACTAATTTAAAAGAACTCTTAAAAATTATTCATGCCCTGTCCGCACCCTTAGAGATGTGGATTCAGTTCATCTGGCATGGGGCCTAGGCAAAGGTACTTTTATAGAAGTTCCCTGGGGTGATTCCAAAGTGCAGCCCGGGTTGCAAACCTCTGCTCGGAGACCCGTAGGAAATAAGCAAAGGGACAGAGTAAGAAAGGCAACCAAATGCCCTAGGTCTGAAAGGGCCTCCTGGGACCTGCTGCATCTAGGAGAACTGCTTGCAAGAGCTGGCGCAGAACACCCAAATACCAGTGGCTAAAAACAAATCAGAATTAATTTTTCTCATATAACAAGAAATCTGAGGAAGACAGCTGGTGGTGTTGGTTTGACCCTTGTCGATGCTATCAGAGCCCAGACTGTATCTTTGTACTCCACCATCTCACAACGTCACCCTTCCTTCCGTGTACTTGTCCCCTCGTGTCCCCAAAGTGGCTGCTACAACTCGCTATCACATCAACAGTCAAGATGGAAGAAGTAAGTCATAGTGACACAGCCGCATGGTTTCTTTAGCAAACTTCTGCTTTCGGGTCACACAGCCGTCCTTAATTGCAAGGAAGTCTGGGAAGGGGAAAGAGGGGTCAGGATGAGTGCGGTGGGGGGTCAGCCAAACCACGGTGTCTGCCGCACACTAGCAGGACCAGTATGTGGGAAGTCAATAGCCAACTTCCTTCCCTGGGCAGGCCTTGTGCAGCTGAACAATGGTGTTAATTTTAGACTGAGTTATAGCCATTAAGTCAGCAAAGTATGGCACCACGGGGTGAATTCTGACATTTTCTTTGGCTAAACTATAAGCACATTATTATTATTATTATTATTGTTATAGCTGCTGTTCTGTTTCTGTCACTGTCAAATGTGACATTCGTCAACTAAGAAAAGATGCGTTAGAAATATCTGACACCATTTAGCTGCAAACATGCCCAATACCGCATCTTTGTGTCTTTATTTTTTTTTATTTTTTAAAGATTTTATTTATTTATTTGACAGAGAAAGACACAGCAAGAGAGGGAACACAGCAGGGGGAGTGGGAGAGGGAGAAGCAGGCTTCTTGCTGAGCAGGGAGCCAGATGCGGGGCTCGATCCCACGACCCTGGGATCATGACCTGAGCCGAAGGCAGATGCCTAATGACTGAGCCACCCAGGCGCCCCTTGTTGTGTCTTTAAAGAGCAACTTTATGGTATTGCAAGTATTTTGGAGATACCAAGGCTTGTATCTGGTCCATGTCGATGCAACACGGGAAATTGAAAAGTGTAACTGCCACTGAGTTGTGATATTGGTTTATTACTACAAAGAAGTCTCTGCCAGGTCCTTTCTGAAATCATTAGAGATGGCCCCACACTCACCACGTGCCCAGTGCCTGGGATCCTTCCCCATACTGTTTCTGGGGCTCACAGAACCTCACTTGCTCCTTACTAACAAGCACCATGGAGGTGTGTGATGTTGGACAAGGCACCATGAAAGGTATGATTAATAAGAAGATAAACAGCTTGTGAGCCGAGCTGTTAGTGAAAGCTCTGTGCCAGGACTGGAGGAAACCAGTCCGTCATTTTACTGTGTCTGATGCTTGAGGGTGGTGCACACACTGGGAGCTCCATTTTATATTTTGATGAGCCTACTCTTGCTACGTTTTGGCTGAGAAGCAGAGATGAGAAGCAGAGATGCCATCATATTACATAGGATTAGGTTGAGCTGGGAGAAACAGAAAATCCTGAGAGCGACAGTGGCTTAACCAAGACAGACGTTTTTCTTTCTCATGTAGAACCCCAGGGCTGGTATGGTGTTTAACAGTGTCAGGGTTCAGTTTCCTTCTACCTTGTTCCACCAACCTCAACATGGCTCTTCCCGCTCAGCTCCAATATGACCTGCTTGAGTTCCAGCTTTCATGTCTCCATTCCAATCAGCAGAAAGGGGCAAAGGGGAAGAAGGATCCATCTCCCTTTTTATAAGGGCACCTTCTGGAAGTTGCACACAGCAGTTCTGCATACAGCTCATTGGACAGAATTTATGTGTGGCTATACATCGCTGGAGAGGAAGATGGGAAACCAGTACTTATTCTGGAAGTCCATGTGCCCTTGTGAAATGGAAAATCCTATTAAGAAATCAGGGATTATGGATATTGGGGAACAATTAATGTTTTCTGCCATGCCATGTCTCTAAACAATTTCTTGAGTAAGATCCAGAAGTGGGGGATTGTGCAGTGGCTTTTACCAATAAAACAGTCTCGTAATTCCCATAAAAATAATCTGTTTAAAAACATGTTTTTTGCCTTAATGGGGGGAGTAGTTCCAATGTAATCTACCCATCATTGCTGGCTGAAAGGCCCACAGTACGAGGCAAAGCATTAAGCAGAAGATTAAAAACAAATAGACTGCTTATTTTGTTTCACTGACAAACCTCCCACTAGGGATTTCTTGAAGTTTTTGGAGGCTGTTTTGGAGGCACCTAGAGCAGCACGCTTTCCTCCATGACTCCGCCATGGAGGAGTCTATTGATGTGCCTGTCTCTGAGTATCTGAGAAGGTCATTGGCCTTATCGGAGCATCAGTGGAATAGCTACAATATGCATCCTTTCAAGATGATTTTAATTTGTTAGCAATGCCAGCCAGTTGAGTTCTCAGAGACATATGCCATGTAGTTATGTATGTCTTACTTAAATCATTAAACTCCAGTGATCTGTGTACCTGTTTGGCCTTTAAAACAGTATTATCCAATAGAACTTTATGGAATGATGGAAATATTCTACATCTGCGCAATCCAATATGGTGGCCACTAGCCCCAGATGGCTATTGAGCACTTGAAATGTGGTTAACGCCCCTAAGGAAATTTATTTTTAATTTTATTTAATTTTTATTAATCTAAATAGCCATATGTAACTAGTGGCTAATGTATTACCACAGCTCAAAGGCATCTTGCTGTTTAAGGACCCTCTAAATTTGGATCCATTTTTACTAATTGGTGAAGAGATCCAAGTTTAATGTGGTTGTGGGATATGCAGTTTTCAGAATTCAAACATACCAGTTGATTCTTGTTCCCCTTTCTTGGGTAGGGAGTTTGAAGGGCAAAGGCTTTTGCCTGATCTTGGGAAGAATTTTTCTTCCCAAAAGTTTACTGAAATTTTAATCATAAAATCAATAAGAGAAGATGGAGTTTTGGGGTGCAGTACTTTTTAAAAAATCAGTATTACTGAGATATAATTTACACACAGTAAAATTTATCCTTCTTAGCTGAATTGTTCTAGGAGTCTTGACAAACATGCATTGTGTAATCACCACAATGATCAAGATAGAGGATATCCCTTCCCCTCAAAAAAAGTTCCTCACAGGCACAATTGTTTTCAAGTGACCCCTGGTTAATGTGTCATTAGTGTAATGAACAATTTTAATACTTGAATTGGACTTAGGTCATCTGTTTATTTTATTTCTTTTTT